CATGAATTTGGAACTAGTTTCTCTTCTTTTAATTTGAGGAAATTTATCTTTTTGAGGAAATTTATCTTTGATCATATAAATCCCTTCAAATATTCTCTTTCCATCCACCGGCAACTCTCCTTCTCTGGCGACCCACCTCTCTTATCGGTGTAGTGACCTCTCTTCTCCGATTAGCTTTTATCAAACAGACGTTTGTTCTTTAATTTTTATTTCTTTTCGTCTTTTTGCTTTACTGAATTGAATCCTTATGTTAAACCCGATGGAAAATTTTGCTAAGAATCTTGCGTTTATTTGAGTTTCATGAATCTGGAGCTATTTAAAAAACTTGTGCCTTAATCTGTAGATCGTTTTTAATCTCTTGTTCTTAGTTTGGTTAAAACTGTACAATGAGGAAGGGATCAAACAAAACAATTGGCTCCAAAGCCAGTCCCGAATGTGCTAAGCCTGAGAAACGTAATCTGGTATGCTTTGCGAACCTCAGTCTTGTATACTGCTTAAGATTCATCACTTGGATTAATTGCAATTCGTGTTGTTAAGGCTATATGATAACGCAAGTATGCTGTGAAAACAACAATGAGATAGGTTTTAAGAGGAATTTGTTAATTTATTTGGTCGAGATTTCTCCTATAACTTAACCTATACTGCAGAGCTGTTAAGAGTTCTTGGTTGCAAGAAAGAAAGGATATTTAACTATTTTGGTCTCAGGACTCAGAATGGTATGGGGGTTTATGCTAAAACAATTGCATGCCAATTCTACTTCTTGTGCCATATATGCGACCTTGAGTCAGGGGAGGGAATTTTTTCCAAAGGATTCTTATATTTTTAACTTTAAAACATGGGGCTTGTGTTTCTTTTTTATTGCTACTGTGTGAGTGGCAAATTTACTTGTGCGCTTGTTTTTGTGTGTTTTCAGCAAGATTTGTGGAAGGCTGCACTTCCAATAGGAACTGAGGTATATTATTCTAACGAATTGATTTGGCTGCAGCATTTACTGTCTCCATTGATATTCTTTGCTCATGGTTGTTAAATTGTGATGGCAGTGGAAACGGTTAGATGCACTTTATGAACACAATTGGGATTTCAAACATCTTGAAGTAAGTTGTTTGTTTTACTTTCTCCATTTTTGGCTGTCTATTGTTAGGTCGAAAGGTTTTTTCGGGGTTGACGTGGTATTTATATGTTTAGGAAGCATTGGAGGAAGGAGGAATCCTCTATGGGAAGAAAGTCTATGTTTTTGTCAATACCGAACGTAAGATGTTTCTCTGTTTTTATTTTTCTTCCTTGTTCTGCGATTTTTGCTAGTTTTTTTTTAATTGTTTCCTTGTCTTTTTTTTACTTGTGTAAATCATATTTGGGCACTTGTGGTTTTTCCTATCGCTTAAGTATGCTCTCTTCCTTTTGTTTAACATTTCCTGTTTAAAATTTTCTATGTTAACAGCTCAGCTTGTCCTCTACAAAGGTGTAAACAAGGTTGTCCCTGTCCCAACAGTTGTTGCTGTAAGTTATTGTTTAAATCTCTATCAGCGGTTTGGTTGCTATCACTGATCATAAATGTATTTTGTCTCATATATCTGTCTAACATTCCATATATGCAGATTGAATCACCCTTTCCGCCTTCTGATAAGATATCAATCATATCGGTTCAGAGAGAAGAGGAGGAAATCATTCCAATGAAGCAGATGGAATTGGAATGGGCTCCTTACATTCCGTTTGAAGAAAGGTACCATGAGTTCCACTTGCATATATTAAACATTTGTCGGGATGGCTTAAATCATATATGAGAGAGATGTCACGGCAGTTGCTCAAATACTTTTGCTTTTGTTCTTCTTGCAGAGAAGAAACACAAGTTGATAGGATGAAGTATCAAATTTTTATCATGGCCTGTACGCAGGAGAGGTAAGAAACATGTGTCAGATGAATGATAAGTTAAAAAAAGATATGGATGTTCAGTTGCTATGAAGGAAAATTTGACTTTTGAGTTACATTACATATAGTATTGGTTTTTCTTTAAGGTGCATGTATTGCATATGCCTTTCGCCATTGCAAATATTATACAGACAGTAATTGTTTGAATCTACTAGTTCTGGTGTTCTCAATTTAGCTTTGTAAATTATCTGCAGAGCTACTCTGAGACATCTGGAGGAAGAGCGTTCTAGGAAGTTCGACTGTTGCCTTCCTTGTGAGTTTTATTCCTCTACAGTTGTACTACTAATACTAGTTAAAATTTGCAGAGTGAACCATTTGTATATGGGTATGTGGTACGCAACAACAAAATCTGACATCCCTTTTTTTTCTTTTTTGCTTTGCAGATTTCTATGACCCATTTGAGGAAGATGAACTTGAACAAAGTACCGAGGTCCAGATATTGTTCCCATCTGAACCGCCGGTAAGTTTTCTGGAATGCAATGAATGTGTTGGAAAGTGGCACGGCTACGTGATTGTTTTAGGTATATTCTTATAATCAAGCTTTAATTCCCTTTTTGTGCAGGTTGTATGTCTATTTGACTGGGACGTTGACAGACTTGAGGTGTGCGTTTGGCTTTTTTTTGTAACCATAAAACTTAAATAACTTGTTCATCTACGCACTGCTCCTTTGTGTGTTGAAATTGCATTCATTGTATTGCTGAAGCTTGAGATGGCCTTTTTGTGCATTTATCTCAGGTATTTGTTGACGACCTGATTAAAGATGAAGAATTATGTGCGGAACAAAAGGATGAATTCAAAGTAAGTGTTTGAGCTGTAACACAATTTGTTAGTTGATGACGCTTGAGTATATTTTTTTGCTTATTATTTTTCTGCAGGAATTTGTCGAAGAGCATGTTCAAGCCGCAAAGAAAGCCAGGCTAGAGGTAAAAATTGTAACCGTGGCTTAGAGAATGCATGTATGTGACATTGAGTGAAACTGTTTGCTAAAAACGTAGGGTCTTATTCTTGCAGGCAACAGCTGCTCGAATGAAAGCAATAGAAGAAATGAGCGAAGATGCTTGGCAAGCCTTTCAAAGCACCAAGTTCTACAAATTCTACCCTCAGCCTTCACCAGACTTCTCGGGACTCCTCAGGGTAAGTAGAAAAGTAACCGATACTACGGGGATAGTGTAACTCAAAGCATACAAGATCCATGTAACTCAAGAAGAAAAGACTTTTGTTTGCTAAGCTCTCATCTTTGTTTGCAGGTACCGATGATTAACCGATACTACAGGGATGCTCATATGGTCTTTTGATATGGATTCAGAAGCCAGAACAAACCAATTTTTATTTAATTTTATTCTTTTATGGAAAATTCGAGAAAGCTAATTTATACTCTAATTCTACTTTTTATTAATTTGCTCAAAATTACGGTGATGATTATTGCTAAAATATGG